TGCCCCGGGGAGTGGCGGGGGTGAGGCGGGGGCCAGCCTGGCCTCAGGTGGGTGCGGAAAGACATCCGACGTCAGGCGGGGTCAGGGAGTGGGCGGGGAGCCGGGCAGGGCCACGGGGAACACGGGGCACGGGGCACACGGGGGTGGGAGATGCCAGGAGGAGACACCAGAGCAGCTCACGGGCTTAGAGACTTTAAGGGTTTTGCTGTGTGAAGACTGTTTTGTGTTTAAACAGCAGGGGGAAAGGCTGGAGGAGCAGGAGGGGATGGAGGAGGTCCGGTGAGGTGAATGCACCCCACCCTCGTGGCACCCAACCTCTGGTTTCAACCACTCAGATCAGGATTTTAGGCATAAGAAGCACCAAGGGAACAGTTACCACCAAGCCTAAGCCTCCTCCAGCATCACTGAGCATCTCCCCAGGGCCACCTCAGCCCAAAAAAATAGTTAAGCAAGGCACGGATGCCTCAGGGGTTGGCAGGACGTCTGCCCCAGCACCCAGGAGACACGACCCCTCCCCTGCTCCCGGGTTTCCCACCAGCGGGGGCTGCTCCTAAAGCAGCTGTTGGGTGTCCCTCAGAAACACGGGGGGCGCTCAGGACACGCCGGTGCCACCAGGAAACGCCCCCCCACGTCGGGGAGCTGAGGAAACGGCCCCGGGAGTGGGTGAGATCCTGGCAGCCAGCCGGGAAAAAGTGACCTCCATCCCCTCGGGGGCTGGGGGCTGGTGAATCAGGCTCTGCCTGACATCCCGTGGCTGTCCCAGCAGCTCCACACCGGCACCCAGAGCTGCAGTCGGGGGCTGGGTGTTGGCAACCAAACCTGCCCGGGCTCGTGCCCCTGCAGGTTCTGCCGGGCTCAGACTGAGGAATCATTTTCTTTCCTCTTTTAGCAACGAGCTGCAAAAGCCTGAACGGGTTTTTCAGAAAGGGAAGATGCTCATCCTCTCGAAATTCCACCCACAGCTCTGCACCTGATCCCTCTCCAGCCAAAAACTAACCCGTGTTTCCAACCAGAGCTTTCCTCACCCTGTGGGTTGCTGGTTGTCGGGGTGATAAAGAAATTAAAAGCATGGAGGAAAGGGGTCAGGATGTCAGGAGAAAGAGGCCGCCCACCCTGGGTGGAGTCGCCAGAGCCCCCCTCCAAAAAAATAGCCCTAAAAAGCTGGAAATTAAGTGGCACGAGGTCCCCGTCCGCGTGGCAGAGGGTGGGTGGGACGTGCTGGTGGAGGGGACCCCAAACCCCCCGGGGCTGGGGTGCAGCTCTCCACGGGAGCTGCTGAATCATTCAGCTGTGCCTTGGGAATCCTCTCGGGCAGGGATGGAGGTTGCAAAAGCGGGGCCCGCTCCCAGGGGTGCGTCACCCCAACGCCCACGGGCACGGCGCGCTCCGGCTCACCCCTGGCACCCAGGGAGGGGGCCCAGGGGGGCAGAGAGGGAGGAAAAGGTGCCAAAAATAGGAGTGAGGAGGGGCAGGTGTTTCAACCACCTCTCCTACATCGGCTTCCAGATGTCTCAGCCCTGGTGCTCCAGGGTTTGCTCCACAAATAGGGGAAAACGGATCAAAAGCCCCGAGCCCGGGCTGGTGCCAGGTTGTGTTTTG